TAACTTATAGCAGGGACCAGATTTCTGTCCCGTTCGTCTCAGTTCCCGTTTCCCTTCGATTTCTATTCGATTGCCCGTTCGACTTGGACGGAATTTCGAATCGATTATAATTCGATTTTGATTTGATTTCGTCCCGATTCTCGTTTCGGTTTCGAATCGATTCCCATTCTACTTGTTTGAATTTTCAATTGCTCCTGATTCGATTTGGAAAACACGATTACCCTGTTCCGGCTTGAATTCGAATTAATAGTTCGGTTTTGGTTCAACTTTGGCTTGATTCCAATTTCACTTCGTACCCGACTTCGTTCTGATTCTATTTCCACTTGGTTTCGATAACAGTTTAATTCCTATTCCACTTTGGTTCGACGTTCATTCGCTTTATAGTATCTATTCGATTTCACTTCGGTTCAATTTTGTTACCACTTTCGAATGAAAATACCTTGACGAATTTTAGGACTGATCGATATTATTAGGCTTCCATCGATTCACGCGTTCGGAAAATATTTCACCGTCGTCGAGTAATAACATTTACCAGCATTCACGGTGTGTATATTTTATGCAAATATTTTTAATTAAAACGCGAAATGAGAATTACTTCCGATAAAATACGCGATTTTATAAATATATTTTAGACCCGGGATCGATAATCAAGGCACGATGAGGGGAATTAGTCGAATAAAATTTCCCTTGGTATCTCCGCGATAAGAGACGTTTAATTTTATCTCTCATCCCATTCTCATTTAATGAAATATTTTCCAATGGAATTATCAACTCTTTATCTGTACTTGCAGCTGCCATTCAATATTTATTATTCCAATTCATATTTCGTTTACCTTTGGTGTTCGCGTGACATTTTAATACGTCGCTAATCGTACATAATTTTATTCTCGACGATCGGGCATCGAGAAATCAGAAACTTGCAAACGAAAAAGGATAAATAAAAAATGTCCAACAATGCGACAGGACCGTAGAAAAGTTCGCGTAATATTATTGCAAACACACGCTAATTGTCAGCTAAAATTCTCCGGCTCAAAGGGGCCCAGACCGTCTCCGAAGCGCCGTCCAACATTAATATTGCATCGCTCCATTATTGCCGTAGTTGTTTAAAAAGCTGAAATTAGATTGCGCTGGAACTGCAACGGGAAAATGAACATCGCCGTGGGAGCCAAGGATATTAAGGGAATACACACAGTTAGCAAAGGAAGCAGACACCCGTGGAATCGTATAAAAATATTTTCCGGCTTATTTAAACCGCCTCCCTGTTCCGCTTTCATGTTCGCGCGGAAGTATATCCTCGGAGGAACGCGAGATCAACTCGGAAGCACTGTAATAACTGACAAAGTCCCGGCACCGTTAACGTTTACGATCTCGCTGCGAACTACATCACACGCCGGGCGAATCCTGCGAAAAAATACTCCGAGGAAATTCCTGCAGCCTTCGTTATTCAGCGGGGAGAACGACGCCGCGTATAGAAGCCCAAGATAAACGGGCGACGACGAACAAGAAAACAGGTATGCGAGCCCAGAACTGTTCGCGAACGTAAAACTCTACGGGGAAACGAGTTTTCCTCTTCAAAAATTTCGTCTCTCTGCGCCCTGTAATCATATCACCGAGCCTGCGATTTTTAAAAAGCAAAAAAACAGCTGAAAGCAGAGCCGCTTGAAATTTACAAGAACGACAGAGTCACTCAAATAAAGATAAAACTTGAATTTGGTATCTTTGGTTCGCGATACCTTTGCGATTTAATAAATTCTTGGAAGTTATTTGGCAGGCAGATTTCAAGATACACATGGAAGGGAGCATAAATTATAGTGAGCGGTATAGTCATATGATAGAGGATGAAATGCCCTTTAAAATGAGCGTTCGAACTTCTTTGGGTGCATAGAGTAAAAGTAAATGTGAAAATAAACATGGAAGATAGCAAAAATTATAGTGGGTGGTATAGTCATATGATAGAGGATGAAATGCCCTTTAAAATGAGCGTTCGTACGACCCGATAGCGTGATTAGTTACGGAGATATGAGGATTTTAATTTCAAGTCGATGCGGTGGCTAGTTTCGGAGATATAAGGGTCCGAAGCGTTTGTTTACGTTCATTGAGATGAATGAACTCGCGCGCGCGAAAATAGTAAACAGTGCGTAGTAAATTCTTGGAAATACTACGGAACTGGGTCACGACAGTCACGTACGCGGAAGTAGGTCAGCACGATGCACGTGCGACAAGGAGGTCCGACTCCGCTAGACGAAGACAGAGATAATCGAATTAAAAAAATTACCTTTTACATAAATTGCGATATCTCGAAAACGGAAAGTCCGATCGACAAAAACCAAAAGCCATCTTAAAGAGGAAGGTTTGCCGCCGCTGACAATGCCTTAATAATCAATAAAACACTAATAGTTTCGGAACTGCACGCGTCTAAAGTTTTGGTATTTTTAATACGCGTGAATAGGCTATTGTACGTAAGCCGGACAGCGAGACAGTGGAGACTAAATAATTATCCCTTTACATAAATTACGATATCTCGAAAACGGAAAGTCCGATCGCCAAAAACAAAAAACCACTTGGAAGAGGAAGGTTTGCCGCTTCTAACGATGTCTCATTTATTAATAAAACATTAGTAGTTTCGGAATTGCACTGGTCGAAAGTCAGTGGACTGTTTAAGAAATTGGACGATATTTATATTTAGTAAAAACGAAGAAAAAGGAAGAAAATAAAGACAAAGGAATGCAGCAACGAGGGCATAATTTATAAGATAAGACTAAAATGGTCTCCAAATCGAATACTCTCGGACTAATTGAGGAATAACGATACCACACGCGTGTACCGATGAAGTATCGAGCAGAGGGTGGATATAGGCGAGGTCGAGGAAAAGCTGCAGCGACTTTTTTTAATTTGGAAAGCTCGCGGGGTTTTGATCTCATTAGACGCCGCTGGAACGCGTTTCCTCCACGCGTTGCCCGGGGCTGGCATCCCACCCAGCCTACTCCCTGTTTCTTAACAATTTAAAGAAATTCCAGTCCGAATAACTGCACCGACCTCCACCCGGCGGGCGGGATCGTCTAAAGAGTTACGGTTAATGGAGGGGAAAAATAGCGGGCTGGGAAAGGATAGAGGGAACGCCCGCCGAAGAGGCGGAAGAAGAACGGATTGAAAGGGCGCGGGAGTTTGAAAAGCGGCCCCCGTCCAGCGTCGGGGGTAAATTGAAAATCAGCCAGCGGCGTTCGGCGAATACTTGGCGAATAGTTTCGCGGGCAAACGGAGCGAAGCTGCGTGAGAAAATTCGATCGGCTGCGTTTAGTCAACGGGAACGACGCCTTTGTTCGTGGCGTTTTCGAGAACGTCGAGGTTGCTTTAGGAATTCTGGGGACGCGAATCAACCCTGGGTGCCTGAGGTCGCTGGAAGATCACCGATTTTTCGAACGATTGATATTAATCACGCTCGAAAGATTCTCGAAACGGTCCATTCAAACTTATTCGGATCATTTATCGAGGAATTATACAACGCGTTAACTAAACCAGTAGAACAAATGTCGAGCCCAGTGAATCTACGTGAATAGAAGTGTTAGGTACGCAGGCTAGGAGCTGGTAATGCTCTTGCGCGCAATTATCAAGGGACTTTGAACTTGTAATAACTAGAATCTTCGTTGTCCGAGTCATGAAGGAGCAGGTACTGGGAGATTCGCCGGCTCTGGTTCTCTCTTGGGTCCCCTTTGCTGTCAGAATCTAATACGTACAACTCCCACGGGGATAGGACCCTCGCCAAACGTGGGAGTTGATGAATAAGAAGGGCGAGGACGGCGAGACTCGAACTACAATCCGCAGGATTGATGTCCAATCGCCTCGCCAACGACAGAAACGTTTCTATCGTGATGGTGTGGATTCCTGTCACGCTTGGGCACGGGAAACACAATTCCCGAGGATGTTGGAACGTTGCTCGGAGACTCGCTAAGGCTTGTCTTAAGGATACATGACTGGTCGGTTTATGCTACTTTAGAAACAATACCGTTTCGTGTAGAATTTAATATCTTATATGTGTCGCGTGTCAACTTGATCCTATGCGACTAGGGAATAAAGGAAAATGAATTTTCCGGGTGAGATCGCGTACGCGTAAAGTTGGCTTACCAAATTGTCCGGAACCAAACGTTTATTGGTCAAGAAAATTGTCAAAAATTATTTCGAGGTTGAAAAAGTATTTAATTTCTGGCGTGTTGGTCGTTCAGTCGCGAAAGAAAGTTCATCAGAAAGTAAAAAGTTATTCGACCACTTTTGTCTGCATTAATTATGATCCAATGTTCTGCTGTTACACTAACGACTAACAAGTATCAGCCACGATAGAACTTCCGCGTTAAGTGCATGAGAAAAGTTTCCCTAATCTCATCTAAAGGTGAACGAAAGAGGAAGATGGGGACAGGGAAGGGAATAGGATTGATCTACAGACCACATCGAAGAGATTAATCGTAGTTTGGCGATCCCTCATCGGACGACGACACGAAAGTTAAAGCGTTCGTTCGATTCCACGAAGCTTCTTCGAAAGAATGAGGAATCGATCGAATTCGTCGTTTTAAGTAATTTTAGAGACAGGATTGATCTATGGAACCATCGAAGGAATTAATACGCGATTTTCATCCGAGTCGAACCATTCGTACCTAGGTTTCCGGTTCACTGAACTTTCTATCGACAAGAAATACCCTTTCAGGGGGGTAATATTCGACGAGCCTATCGAAGCAGCAGACCCAATGCCAAGGTGAACCATGCACGCCATTAAAAGCTCGTTAGAAGGAGGCGCGCAAGTTCTCGAACGCGGGATGTCGTGTTCGAGCAAAGCATCGGCGTAAACTAACCCGATTACTCGCGAGATTATGCTCGTAAAAAAGTAATCTGCGATTAAATTAACCGCGACGACCGCGGCGTAGAAAAATCTGATCTTTTCTTTTCTCATTTTCGTTAGCCCCTCCCTTAATCGCGATCCAGCTTGATCAAATCCGCGGATTAATGCTCACCTGCGTCTTCACGTCGCCGCCGGCTATAACCTTCGACTGGAAATTGCTCTGTTCCGTGAGAATCTTCGCGTTATTTATGTAAACGTCCTCGCCGTGCGTGCCTGGCCGCCTGGTGACCCATAAGGGCGGATTACCCTCGAGCTCCGACGAGATTGAATCCCCCAGGTTCTCGATCGTTTTCGGAAAGTTTGCTGAAACAAAAGGACAGACACGTTTTACACTCTCCCCGCCGTTAACGATTATGTACAATATGGAAATTAATCGCAGCCTTTCTCAAACTTCGGGTGCACTCTTACGAAGTAGAATTAAAACTTATTTATTATTTTTGTTTAGCTGGTTTCGTATTCCATTTCAGTATTTTATTTTATTTCTTAGCGATTAATCTCTGTAATTTCTGTTGGGGGTAGATGTTCTTCGCGTCCCCGAATTTGTAAAATCGCGTAGCTGGGGGGAAAAAATTAAACACCGTCGGTGGTATTGTAGCAACGGTACTTGGGCAGTGATTGGAAAAATATCGAAAGTTGAAAAATTGGTCCCCCATGAGCTAAATCCAGCGCGCAAACATTTGTGTTTCGTCCCAAGATAGGGGGAAACGGTGACCCGTTTCGCGAACGAATTGCCATCGGTAATGAAAAATGTGTTTCCGGCTCGGATCGTGTTCGACGGCGGGAAAACGCGCGGTGAAAAACTGGCACTCGAAAGCGGAACATCGGCGAGCAAAAATGTTCGGCATTTGTTTGAGATCCACTTAAAAGTTTGAAGTCGATCGGACTGCAATAGGGGGAGATCTATATCTTTCGTGTTGATCGATCGCGTGCAACTTTTGCGAGAAAACTATCATCGCCGCCGAGTCGCGATGGAATTCCCTTTACGTCGTCGCGATTGGATTGACCGTGGACGGTTCAAACAAACTTCTGACGTCGACACGATCCCGAATGTATTTCGAATCTTTCATTTTATTTCCAATCAGGCTTGAATATTTTGCTATTAAAATTTCCTTGTTTATAAATCAGGATTACAGTCTATAATTATACATATAATTAGTCTTCTATTTTATGTGTTCTGTATATTGGTTATCTAACAGCACTGTTCTCTATCTCAACTGTACAAATATTATACCAAACTACTAATGAGCTCGATTGAGAGCATCATAAAAATAATTCCAACGAATTATAAAGGATTTTCAATTGTTTCCAACTTCGAAAATAGATTCTATCTATCTCGAAGCGGAATCGTTGTTTAAACCCTTCCATCGAGTCAGCCGCGTAGCTTGGATTTTATTTGCAAACCATCCGCCGGAGTAAGGGCGCCGGGAAGAAGGGCGAAAAGCCGGAACGACGTAGAAAACAAAGCCGGGAGGAAAAAGTCCGCCGGTAGAAGTACAAAGGTGGCTTTATTATCTCGTTACAGGCTGGAATGTCCTCGTAATCCAGAGGTTTTTCCAGCCTCCGAAGCTCGCGGGAAGATATCGTTCTGCATCCTTGTAAGAGGGGACGTTCAATCCCGACGCGAGCAGAAGAGCAGAGCGCGGCCAACAATAGCGCTCATTACGAACGCAGGGAATTGGGTTCTGTTTCGTAAACTGCTGGCCGCTTTCAGGACAAGAGGCTCTCGTTTGCCCCGCGACTAAAGCGAGCCCGTCTCTTTCCCGAGGAAATGATTTTCTTTAACCGTCCGCCGCAAAGGTGATCTGCCCCGGAGAGTCGACAACAGTTTCGACGAGCTTCCTGGCTACGAGACGGCCTTTGCCCCCGCGATTCTTTCCGTTTGATGGCGGGACCCGTTGACCGTTTTACCGTCGCGTCAGCGAAAACGCTCGTTTCACGTTCGGTAGTCGCCGCGGTGGTCTGCGTTCGATTACAGCGAACCCCGGAGCCACCGTCGACGAGGACATCAACGGTTTTTACGAGGCACAGGCCGGCCACTTATACGAAAATGATTCCCCGCCGGAGGAAATCGATAGAGATCCTATGCACGAGAAATTCCAAGGCAGATGTTCGGAGAACATTCTGGCGGATTTGGAGAAAAATAGACGGATCGGTTTAAACTATTAGTAGCGAGTTATCCTCTGGATCTTTCTCGCCGTGGAGTTTGATCTAAAGGCTCCTTTAACCGGTGGACAGCTTCCATCCGGGCGAACCGCCCAAGGCTGGATCAGCTGGAAAAGCCTTACTGATGAGTTCTCTGGCTCGGGGATTCGTGTAGTATTCGTTGGAAGCCACGAGTGGAGAATGACCGCGAAAAATTTTGTTCAAAATGTTTTCCAAATTGAAAGGAAAATTGTGTTTCCGCAGCCTGCGTCGGGTGCCCGTTCCAAGACGGCGACCAATAAAAAAGAAAGCGCGCATTATTCATTCCGAGCGACGAGTGGTCCGCAGCGACGAGGAAAAAAAGGACCTAGACAAATACGTTCCATTCAGCGATCAATAGTACCGTTGATCTCTGCATCGTTTTGTCCCAGACGTCCCTTTCAACGAAGGTGGATGATTAAGTCTTCGATCGGATCCCATTTATTTTCGCCGCGAAGCCCCTTGGGGGGGCACAGGTGTGATGGCCGACCACAAAACGAGAACACTCGTACAAAGCTGCTTGCGCCGCGATCGATTTATATTCCCCCCCTGTTACCCCCTCGTTTCTGGCCCGAAAACTCCGCCGTTCCTCGTCCAGTTTTGTAGTCGATAGCAGACTTTCGAAGCGTCCGGTTAACAAAAGAATAAAGCAAAAATACGCTACCGTTTGCACGTGTCGCACAGGCGAAGTGTCAAAAGCTCTTGCCCCGGCGACAACACGGGGGATCAAGTCGTCGATTCCCCGCACGGCACAGAAATAGAATTTCCCGGAGTTTCGCCGCTGACGTAATCCACGGCAAATATCTTTTTTTACCCGCTTCGAGTCTGCCTAAGGGCTTGGATAACAGAGCGCGATTCTGTTGCCGCGTGTTCCATCGAATGGAAGCGAAAAATGAACGTATTCCTTTGACGTCTGCTTTCAGAGAAAATCGAAGCGTCCCCGTTAACCCCATTCGCGCGTTAAAACGAAACGATGATTAAGACTCGTCGTCCGCAAATAGAATTACCATTACGAAACAAAGTTTCGAACGATCGATGGGATCGTGAGCGGCATTTACACAAAGTCGAAATTTTTTTCCACGAAAGTTTCGCGACGAGCAGACTCCCGGAGCGCCTTATAGAAATGCTGAAGCGTGGCCCGCGAGTTTGGAATAATCTCGAGCGCTGGTTGCACGGTCGTTTACACGGTCGCACACCAACCGAATATATGTATTCTGGTACATTGCGAGGCACGGAGCGCGGCATCTTGTTTGGACACTTCTTTAAATCAATTACGAGTTCCCCGGGCGGGCAAGTTCTGCGGGCAAGTAGCACAATTCATCCCCCTTCCATTCCCGCCCCTCCCCCGCGTCGAACAGTTCGACGAAAGTTCGACGGCCCACCCTGCCGATGGTACGCGGCATCAAACTCTCGGTTTCCGGATTGTTTGCCCGACCTCGGCGAATTCAATCGGCGAATTTGCGATTCAGATGATGATCGGGGCAGCTTACGCTCGCGAAAATTTCGACGACACGATCGACCGGACTGGCTCGTGCTAGAGATTCTGAAAATTCCCCTCGTTATCCCCGGTTGTCGTTTATTCCGTCCAGGGCAAAAGTTCTGTCGCTCTATGTGATTTCACAGAGAACTAAAAGAATTATATACGTTTACTGAATTTTCTGTAATAGAAATTTACAAACATTCCTCGTCATAATTAACTCTAATAGAATTGGTGTTTAAATATATCTAAATTCTCTTTTAGAATACAAATAATAATTCATTGTTATTAAATATTCGTAATAACATCGTTGTTGATTAACTATAACGAAACAATAATAGATTTATTCTAAACGCTACTGTTTAAATCTGGCGGATAGTGGTACCGTCTTGTGGCGCACCCTAGGAGCGCCTGCGGAACTAGTCGCGAGCGATAGTTGCGAGAGCGTGGATGTACGCTGTGCGAATTCTCGTTTTTTGTCTTCAAGTTAAGTGATTTGTTATAATCAAACCATTGCTGGCTCCTTAATTAACACGAACGGCTTGTCCGGTGCTCCTTCGTTAAGATGGACAACGTTTCTGTGTCAAAGGTAGGCTGTAACCTGTTGCTTTTACTTCCATAACCTCGAAGTGCAAACGCGGGACTTGGCACGCTTGGCGTGGCTGTGTCGTATAATCTGTTTTCGAAATATTAATACATTATGAAGCATGAGTTGCAAAGAACGTTTAATTCTTCGTACGTGAGACATATTTAGACTCCTTTCAGGGCGTTTTTACATACAAAGGTGCTTACAAAATCGGTCAGAAAAGGACAAAATTTGCGTTACCAAATTATTTTGACGAACCTTGGTATATTTCTTATAAATCGACATGGACAAGAATTCAAAGTGCTGCAGAGGTATCGCATCTGTATAAAACACTGTTGCACGATCAAATTATACGTGTTTTGTTGCATCAATTAGTTCTACTGAAATTTTAGGATATACGGTCCAATACGTTTCAACAAGTTTTGGATGAGTTAGATTGTTTTGTTTCCATTACTAAAGAAAAGCCATTAGATAGTCTTGAAAATGAAATACCCACAGCTATTGTATTAACAGGTGACGATCTCCTTTAACGAAATATATCTTCTATCTGTGCATCATTTGATAACAATTGTATCGTAGGAATTAATGTCCCTGATCATGCGGTAATGTTCACAAGAATAATTTCTAAATTACAACCAATATCAAACCATATAGCAGTTCTGTGGAACAGAGATTCAACTAATATAAGAAGTATCGTAGAAGAAACAATTTATCAGCTAATGAATCACGAGAACACGGTTAGCGATTTTGAAACCGAGCGTAATAAAATTACAGAGAAAGTAAATATTAGTTACGCTGCAACTGTTTGTAGGATGAAAATGAAAAGATTAAAAAGAGCGACTGTAATATGAGAGCTTTAAAACTATGGTATGAAGAGCATTGTCAACCGGAAGATCCTCTTATTATAATCATAACTGATTTTGAAAGTTCTTCGTCCACGGTATTACGTGACTTTATTTTGATATTGAGGTATTTTTATTTTTTTTATTCCTTTTTTATGTCGCTGTTAGCTTTATAATATCTTGTCTCTTTCAGTTCGTATTCAAACACAATAAAGTTTATTCTTATATTTGGTGTTGCTACTACTTTGCATGCAATACACAGATCTTTAACATACGACGTTACATCAAAATTAAACGTGCAAGTAATGAACCAATTTAATAGTTTACAAAATTTATAGTACTTAGAAAGCAGCTTTTGGATCTGTAATTCTTTTGTTTAGGTATTTCACATACAAACTCAAGTTAATATTCTGTCAGATGTATTAGAAAATACAGTTTTCTGCTCAGAAATACCATTTAAATTGACTGGACGAGCATTTCAGTTATTGACAGATATATTTTTGTTTTACGATTTTTCTGTTGAGAATTTTCTGCAAAGTTATAAGGTATTCAATTTTGAATAGTTCCAAGATAACTGTAGGGTGATTTTTATTCCCGTAAAAATTTCTAGATATGCATGATACAACATTTTTACGCGAATAATGTAATATCTCTATGCTGTCATCCGCTAGAGATTAAAAGTAGAATGTCTATCTTAATCGACGATGATTTCGAAGAAATAAAAAAGGTACCTTCTATAGCAAATTACATCGAACAATTACAAAAAGAAGAAGGTAATAACGAACCTATCGACAACGAAAAATTCAAGGTACATTTAACACAATGGAAGTACTTTGTACTCAGTGATCCCAGAATTAAATTTATTGTAGGGAATATTGACTAAACTGTTAAAAGAATATCATCGATACATGCATCGGTTTTTAAGAATATTAAGGTGTCTGTACTATCTCGTGTCGACATTGCCAAACGCACCGATGGGCAAACAGGTACAGATCAAACGAACATAAGAAAACGTTCATCCTAGGAAAGTATAAATATCTCATCCACGAAACGATTATAGCTACGCGAGTTCTACACGAAAGCAGTAAACGTGAACGATCTGAAAGATTGCCGCGAGTACAATGAGTGCATGCAGCTCTTGAGCTTTCTATCGAAGCAAGAGTTTCTCTCGAAGCTGAAGTTCATTATTTCGACCATCGAGAACTCGCGAAATTCGAGTATGATAAAGATGAAATCGGACCTCCAGGGTCACGTGGCGAGAATCGAAGAGGCTAGCTTGGAAGAACCAGTCGCGCCTACCGATGTTCTCGGTAGCGGCGAGAAACTGAGTCGGCTCGAATTGAAAGAGGTTTGAAAGTTCACTGTCTTGAAACGTCGTCCTGGTCGTGAGACTCTAAATCTATATCCGTGGTTTCCTTGCGCCGCAGAGATTGCTAAAAATGTCCAAAATGCACGCACGGTCGGCGTACAAACAAGCACAGTTAGACGTGATCAATTACCTGGACCAAAACGTGTTCTCCGTTTACTTGGTAAATCCAAATCGCATAACGGCGCACGAGATATTCTGCTTCAGCGACGGCGGTCTAGCCAAACAACACATTCGCGGGTCTCTGAGGGCTGCGATACACACGGGACTCAACGATCCACAAGTGTACTTGAACGTAAGTGAGTAGGGGATAAAGAAAAGTATTAATCTGGCTTTGATGTCTCAATTAACGGGTCAGGTAGTAGAGATGTGTTTCGATCGAATTAGGAACAGGGATAAAGTTCTCGTTCAATTCTATTGCAAATCTAACTCTAGTGTTATTTTATTTCTTTAGTCCTATATCTTTTGAAAGCAACATTCTGTTTGTGTCTAAAATGTTGAGATTCGGTAGCTTTTCCATCGCGATCGATGATTTTCTAACGCTATCCCATCGATCCGCCATCAGGGATCGTGATAGATATCAATTATAGATCGTCCGCGATGGGAAACGACGTTGAGGCGTCGAAGTTAATTGGAAATACATATTTCAGTGCGACTGCTGTAAATTGGAGATCGACGAGGCCATCCCGTCCACGCTGCCCGACCTCAGTATAATTTACAAGCTGCACTTGGAATCCAGGAAGCTGATCAATATGTACGACTGGCTGCAGGTAACAATCCGTTCGTGCTCGTGTTTACAGGTTAATTCAGGTTATACTTACGGTCACGCACCTGTGCTCGTCCGCCTCGTGATTTTAATCGCTCTTACCAGTGATTCACGCGAGCACGACATTGTAAATGGGCCCTCGTAGCAGGGGCGCGGACTGTTTTATCGTCTGCGGTTGTTAGAAGCTTGAAAATGCATCGGTCAAGTCCAACGTACCGCCGGATACGGAAAATTGGGATCCTCGGTCGGTTGCAGTCCCAGGAACAACACCCCTAATTCACTCCCAAGTCGTACATCACATTTGTTCCACTCCAGCTCCATATTTATTCCATGAAATCTTACAGAGTTCGACTGCAGACATAGTAAGTCTTACAGGGTGTATTGGTTATTCTGGTAAGCAGTCTCGAGGATGCAAAAGAGATCTTTGGTGTCAGATTTGATCATTTATCATCGGTTTAAGTTGCTCGTTTCCCCAGTATTTCCAAAGGAAAGAGTTCTCTCGAACCACTCGCGATTTGAGCAACGTGTAAACGTAGGTTTGTCTACCTTTTGGTGTCAGAACGTACTACTTGCTTTCTGCACTGTACAAGAATACGTGGTAATTTAAGAGAACGAAAGTTCCCATTTTCGAGTGTTCAGGGATTGATGGGAGGCACGTTTGCAGGCATTTTTGATCGTTATGAATCCCGAGAGCGACGATAAGGAGCAACGTAACGTGGATCCCCAACTGCAGTATCCTTTTTCATTTAGGGGGAATTTGCGCGGATGGTACGGGGGTAATGGGTTGCGTCAAGATTTGTCTAACCACCGGCCGTTTGAAATTCATATCATAGCTCGTAATGGCGAAATCGTAGACCCGTGGAGATAATTCGCCCGGCGCTACATACCTCTTGTTTGAATAATTCACGCGTGTTCCCGTGTGAATTTTATCGCGCGCCAAGGTATCCTTAACAGAGATTTAGAGCTCGTTTTACTCAAGCGGTGGCCGAGCTGGAGTTCCTGGGTTTCATCAAGAGCTCACGGAAGAAAATGGATCATGTGAAGCGGCTCATGTGATGATCTTTGGGCTCGATTCTCGTATACATCGGACCGTTTGTGTTTTTTCTACTTTCGACTATTTTTGTACCATGTTTGTTTAATTAAAAAGGCTACATCGTCGTTTGGTTCCTATCCTTTCCACCTGAGTGTCCTTTAGCATGTGAATTATTATCTTAGTTCCTCGTTAAGTAAATCGTGAAATTGAAAGCCACCCTTCCTCCAATTTTTAAAAAATTTCATAGAGTTCAACGTAGAATATCTGGATAAACAATCCAGATACGTAGATAACACTATCGAATAACAGAGAGGAAATTGTTCAAAGAAGAGATAAACATAAGATGGCAATAAAACCGCCAGGAATAGCACGCGTCTGCTTTCACGTTTAGTTAACAGCTTTCCGGGGTTTCAGCGGCCATTAAGATCGCGAGTCGAAATTATTCGTGGAATATTTTGAACCCGCGCGATAAATCCTACAAATTCGAAACAAAAGGGTGCGAAGAATATTGGGTTTTCGATGGGCGCCATTGTACGCGGGAATATCTCCCAGCCTGCGCGGCGCGATGAAATATTGCTGGCAATAATCCAACAATATTTAGCGCCTCGCAGCGTTATCGCGACGCGCTCGGAGTATCAACCGTGTGCATCAATGTAATGCACATTCTGCGGGCAATTCGAAACGATAATTTTATTAGGCCACGAAGAGCCAATGGCGATTGTTTCCCAATAACAGATGCCTCCTCGTAGCATCGATATACCCCTTAACGAGTACCTACGCTCGAAACGTACGCAAACTTGGCGTGTTTCCGCGAGGAAGTTACAATTGCACGACTGCAACTCCGCTAATAGAGTTTACGTTATCAGCGTCTAACGTCTCACGATACCGGAATCCGCGGTATCGAGACTCGGTTGTACGCGAACAACCTGTGGATTATACCATCGCGTTTGTTAATGGATTTTAATTAACGCCCGGCGTCGTTTAAACAAGGTTGTTATTATTCGACATTATTCCGTTTTCACAATCGTACACAGCTCCGAGAATATAATAGAAATATCGGCGCCCGATCGTTCGCCGACTCCATTCAGAAAAGTTCGTTAATTTCATTCGTCCAATAGCAATAATAACAGAATCGTGTCAGGTTCAAGAAACATTTTTAATCTGCGGAATTACCTTCACGTTTTAACCCTTTGCACTCTAGCTGCCATTAACTCAAACTTTCTTACGAAATAGATAGTAAATCCAAGTATCTTTGTTTACATTCTTTGTTTATGTATTTGGTTCTATATAATCACTCTAAAAAAAAAATGTCGTTGTATTCCCTTAGAGGGTAGATCCACATTCTTTGCTGGATGTCCCTTCAAAGGGTTAACAATAGTTACAAATTCTAGCAAGAAATGTGCAGGTCGTTAGCTAGGATCATTCTCCTAATCGATGTTCCACGCACTCGCGAAAATTATATTCTATGGAGGATAAATATTCGACGCAGATAAACCGTGAAAGAGTAAATTTGTGAATCGAATAGAATTTAATTCGCCGTTCGACCGATGACTATAACGTGCCATTCGCGATGAGAGAAACCACCGAGCCGTTGCGGGCTTTTGACGCATTTCTTACCGAGCCGTGTGCCTTTGAGCCCCATACGGGTTTGAAAGCCTGCTCCCGCGATACCAGTATGATCGATGCTGAAGATTTCTCCGGCACAAAGCTACAGCCACCACGTTAACGCGCATTGTTTCAATTTCGGATTCATTTCCGGCTGTCCTAGTACCGTTTTAATCGCGGATTAAATTATTCCGGCTACCGCGCTTGATAGCAATCTCGTGTCTGAAATTATGGCGCAAACATTCCTTCTGTTTCCTTCCACTCGACTGTGCATTGATCATGTACATTAGATACAGTCTTCGATTATGTTCAGAGGAAAAGATATCGATAGAAAAGGCAGCAATAGAATGAATAACACTAATTTCTGAAATTATGGCCCAAACGATAAGCGGAGATACGCGTTAACGTGCTCGTTTTCGAGTTATTAACGAAAAATCGAGGCATGAAATTTTCTAAGTTTACCCAGTCTTCGACTATGTTGAGAGTAAAAGATATTCTACATAGGCAACAATAGAATAGACAACAATAAACGATGGAATCGAAGGGAACAAAACGGTAGAAAAATAGAAACAGCGAGGTAACGAGCCAATGGCGAGGCAGAAAATGGTTCAACTTTTCAGCGCGCTAAGCCGCTGATCCTATCGATTGTCGAAACTCGGCGCGGAAAGCGTTTTGTTCAATAATTCAGTTCCTCCGGATGCATATTGATGACGTACGTAGTGCATTTGCATATGCTTGGCCGCGACACGAATTCCTCGTGTTCGCGCGGATCTCAATTTCGATCCCGTTTCGATCGTCGTTTCCCGTGTTCCTTGGCAGCTTTGCTCGCGTAAAAATCCCGAATATCAATCGGTCCTTCGCGCGGAGCGTAACGATGGTCATTTCCAAATGAAAAATACGACTCTAGGGGGGGGATGGGGGGAGGGGAGGGGTGAAAAACGACGTGGAAAAGTAGCGGTCGTTTTAACGCGAACGACGGGTCCTCGAGTGAATATTGAGCATTATTTGAACTCGTACGGAATTCTTTTTTTTTTTTTTTCTGCGTCTGACGTGACAGGGACAAATCACGGTGGCCAGTTCGGCAAACGTTGGCTTCTGTCAGACGGGGAACAGAAAGTATTTTCGATCGTCGAGCGACGGGTTTCTTTCTTTTGTGGCTGGCGGACGAGTTTAAAATAGGATTCGACGCGCGTCTGTCGGGAATAAAAGTGTCCTTCGATTAAGTTTCGTCCGCTGAAAGAACATCGAAGTAATTATCGAGGGAAAAAAATACAATGTGCCGTTTGCATTGAAATATTATCGACGCTTGCATTCGATTTAACCCCCCGACGGGGGAATTCAATTTGCGGTAATACCGGTTACAAAGGAATCTCTCGATTCTTTAGCCGATACATGGCTCTTCGTTTGCTTAAAACGATGGAAATAACAATTTCTGTAATATTCGTATCGTCGTTAACGACAATGTGTATTATTACGCTGAAATTAAACGGAAGGGTTGCGCCCCGTTGATCGATGTTCATTTCATCGTAGAAGAAAGGAGAGTATTTTATGCTCCCACGTAATTAAAATGTCCGCTACCGTGACGAGACGTCTACCAGCTATTATTTCCTTCGTATCAGTTTGCTACCAGACTCAAATAATATTATATCGCGTCGCGTTTCGAGCACAACCCTTTTCTGATATAAATCGAGCACCTTTACGATCTCTGTCAGAGATACTAAGTATAACTAGTACAGTATTAAAAATGTACAGAGTCGATAGATTTGATATTTCTCGTTACGAGCGTGTCGAGTGTTCCGTTTATTGTGGGACCGGATGTTCAGACGTTTTGGATATTACAGGGGCTTAGGACGTCCATATAGACGACCTGATTTGCGAATCGTAATTACAAGATCAACGTTAACCTGGTATCTCTCCCTCGCAGGGTCTGTAGAGCTTGCACTTACAGGCTAACGCATAAACAATCTTATGGATTCAGTTTCATTGCTCCATGGATTCCCCATCAAGCGGAACAATTAATATGCAATGGATTTCGTCAACGAGAAAAAGGATGACGCATCTATTACGGAACCATTCATTAATTTTAATTGAAAGAAATAAACGTCGTTTGAGGGAACGTATGCTTTATAAACGAAGAGGATAATTGACAAAGCATCAAACGCCTCAAAGGTCTGCGTGCGGCCTTTAGGTCTGGTTTAATGCGTTGCATTTGCCTCCCAATACCCCACTTACTCCAGTCTACACAAAGCTGTGACGCAGCAGAAGCCCTAATTAAAGGAAAATCAGCCCCAGCATTGTTGCGGTCTTCCTTCTACGCAGTCTTAAAGACATCAACGTGAAATCGAAGAGAAACCAAATTTGCATTAAACATCGACAATGTTACCAGACAAAGGATAATTCTGGCGTGTGATCAACAAAATTCTGAACGAAAACTACCGATTCACGATACGGTTTACGGATAATCCTACTCTGAAGCCTCAACGAGGAATTATCGTAATCCACACCTGAATCTACAGTGTTAGGAACTCAGACTACCAGTGTTCCAGTTCAGATAAGAGGATAATTCAGCTTCAGACTGCTACAAAGAAATTTTCAAGCATTCTGTCTGCTGGTAAATTGACGTAAAAGCAACGAAGATGAAAGGAGAAGCAACCTGTCCACGAATCGTTCGATAAATGACCATTCGACTGTGATTCGTCGAAGTCCTGCTGCGATCGATGCGGTTTGCATCGAAGCCGCTGATAGATGGACGTTCCTTGTTATTACTACTGTTTACCAATTAGTTGTCGCGTGATTATAATTGGTAATTACACGCACCTCCGGATGGCGGTCACCATCAACGGCAGGACCGCCGATGCCATTCATTTAACCGCGTGACCAGTCCCGAAGCGTACGGGCCGTTAATTTTAAACTGCGTTCGACAAAAACGAAGCCTCCGTGCGTGTATAATGCGGTGCGAATTGAATTTCGCTCGACGATGGATAGCGGAACTAATAATCGTTGCTCGACCAACGGAACTTTTCACCGTTTATCAATTGACAATTCGAGACGTTTCGACTCCCAAAATATAACAATAGGGGCCAAAATAAGACGAAAATTAAAATCGAGACTGGTTACGAGAACATTGCTTATGGTTCGAAAGGCAAAATTATTGATAGAACAGCTGTAGCACGAACGACTGTGTAGTTTCTTTCGCGTTTGGCTGTTTTTAAGCCCGGAACACCATGAATGAATGAAGATCACGGTTCTAGCCAGCGGTTTATCACCTAATGCTTATCCAATTCCCCGGTGCTCGTCGATAAAAAATGTCCCCGGCCCGGGCGTCCATGTTTCACCTATCCTCGCGCGTTATTAATAATTTACGACCACCGTTCGATATTCGTACCCGTTCGAAGGTATTTGCCTCGCCTCGAAAAAAGGTATTCGTTCGGTGAGGGGCGCCGACTGGAATAAAGGATCGACGTCGTTGAATAGATCTCGTCCCGCGATACGGGGACAAGTTAAAGAAGACGCCGCCGGAGGGGCATCGTTGGGTCGCGGGGAATCGTGCACGAATACACACCGGGAGTTTTAAGGCGGCTTCGAGCCGGAAAACTGATTCCCCTC